GTTCACAATTTAATATTAGAGACAATTGAAGTCGATAGAATGAGTCTCGTAAATATTAGAGACAATTTTAGGAAAAAAAATTTATAAACTTAAGAATAGTTTTAACATTATCAACTACATTGAGTAAAAATTTCAACTTCATAATGAAATAATAGTAGGTAGTAAGGTCTTATCACTAAAAAAAATGTTACATATAGTAATATATAATTTTAGTGTTGATTTTGAATGAGATTTAACAACATATTTTGTGTGTCACTATAATCTATATCTACAATTTTTTAATAATATATCAACATATATTATATTTATTGTGTGGATAAAAATAGTTTTTAGTGACACATATTGTATGTAATACGTGTCACTATAAGGTATGTGTCACTATATTATAATTGTGTTGTAGTGTATAAAAATGACCCAAATAAGTAACTTTTAAAATAGGACAAGAAAAAATGGATGAATGGATAAAGAATAAATTCATATGTATATATAAAAAAAAAAAAAACACCGGCGATTGTTTAGTGGTAAGTTCCATCCAATGATATAGATATAAAGTAATTTTTTTTTGGATAAAAAAGACAAACAACTTCATATTTTACATACATGATATTGTTGGTGGATAATTTGTATTGTAAGTACTTCTGTAATCGTATTTTTTTAGTTTTGAAACTTGTCTTGACTCTAATTTTATTCATATAAAAACTTTAAATAAGGAAATTCATATATATATATATATAGAGATGAGAGATCAAATTATTGCAAGAACAATTTTTTTGTAAAGTTAATTCACTTGATAATTCATGATATATGTTAAATTTGAATAATCCAAGCATTAGTGATGTTTTTAGATGAGGTGATTTAGTAGAAAATGGAGAAGAAAACGAGAGGTTATCATAGAATTAAAAAAAAAATGTGTATTTGAAGGAGATGATTAAGTAGATTTTTAAGAAAATTATGGTGAAACCCATGTGAATTTAATTCCACTATCTTAAGAATGGATTTGTGTGAAATTTTCAAACAAAAAATACATGGATAAGACAATTCCTACATTATATTGTCTAAATAGTTAGTTAACAAATGTTAAAAATGTAGTTGTTTAAATAACATATTTTTATATAAATTTTTAAGTATGTAAAATATATTTTTAAAAGATCATTTTTCTTCTTCTATTTTTCACTTAATTTCACTCTATCAAATAACTACAAATTACATTATTTTTTTTACCTATTTCTTATCAAATAAATTCTTATTTATTCTCTTTTATTCTCCTCAATTTTTTTCCCTTTTCCAAATATAGATAAATTACAATTTTTTAGAAATTTGAAAATCATATGATACTTCATTATATATATTTAAATCAATGTATAAAATACTTTTATAGTTATCTATCAATTTGAATTGATGAAACTAACTATCAAATAATTTTCAAAATTTAAAAAAATATAAACTTGATTTATACATTATATTTTTTTTAATTTTAAAATCATTTGATACTTTGTTTTATTAATTCAAATTGACGGATAATCATAAAATTATTTTATACATTGATTTGAATTAATGAAACAAAGTATCAAATAATTTTAAAATTTTATAAAAATTTACAGATTTGATTTATGCATTAAAAATTTTAAATTTAACACATTAAAATTTGACGTAGAACATGAATTATTGGACGTAGACTTAATCCTGAAATAAATGAATCACTCACTCTCTCTCTTTCTCTCTCTCTATATATATATATATAATTCCGTCAAAATTTAAGATTTGTGAGCGTAGTTTTTGATGGAGAGAAAAAATCAGTTCGTTCAATAGCAAAGACATCTGGATCAGTTCGTTCAGTAGCAAATACATTTTGAAATGATTTATCTTTCCCTTTTCTTCGATTGGAAATAATTAGTCTATCTCTTTTCTTCATTTGGCAAAACAAAGTTTAAAAGAGGCAAATGTTTCTTAACAATTTTTGGAATCTTTGATTGATGCACTATGTGTGTCACTCATATAGTCAACAAAATGTACTTTCCTTTAATTTTTCCTATAGTGGTTGTTAGTTTTCCGTAAGGGTTCAATTTCAATTAATAAACTATTTTCATTTATTTATTTATATTGTAATTTGAATTTTCCATCCTCAAAATGAAAAATATTTTATTCTATTTTTTTTATGACATGTTTTTTTATATTATTTCAAAAAAAATATTATTTACTTTCCAATTTTATTTTAAATTTTAACTGTACCACGTACTTCTATACTATTTTCTTATTATTCGTCCACCTAAAATCTTAATTACTTATTTTTTTAAACTACTTTTCAATTTATTAAAACCTCAAAAATTTATTTTAAAATATAAATTATCTATTATCTTACGTATCTAAAAAATATAAAATAGTTAAACTTATATATAAGATAAATGGGTTTTATTAAAAAAAGAAGAAAGAATATAATCCAAACAGCTAATGTGGGGTGCCATTCGATGAAAGTATTGAGGATAAAATTGATTGGGATTGTTAAAATAAACAAGGTTACATTTTGTCAAGTACTACGTCAAATCAGAGAATGAATTATTATTTTTGGTATAAACATGCATTTTTTTTGCACAAACTTCACATGAGGTGTTGTCTATTACTTATTTTGGCCAATGAATTTGAGAAAAATAAATAAAGAGCTGATAATTAAGTTTTTACGAAGTTATTACAAACAGAAATATTTATTTTATCATTAGAAAAAAATTGTAACTACAATAATAAAAATAGAACTTAATCTCTTTTATATCTATCTGAATCTCTAAGTATTTGTTTTGCTATCCATTTCAAAGCTTTAGAATGTGTGTTTTTATTAATACATGTAGTTTAAGAGCAACTAAACTTTTGCTCTGAGTTTAACCTAAATTACATTGAACTGAAGTTTTATTCAAACATTCACCAAATCATTAGAAACAGAAATATTACTGTGAATAACATGACTAATACCTCCTTTAAACAATGGGGAGGTTATAAAATGATTCATAGATTAACCGTATGACTAAAAAAAAAAGAATGGGAAAAAGATTAATGTATTTAGTTGATTATGATGAATAATTTATGATATGATGTTGTTGATTAGTTTTGGCCCACCCTGGAATCTGAGTTTTAGTGTGGATTGGGTTGAGGTGGTGGTCCCTCTCTCTAGCTGTGGCACTTGTATTCTTATGTTGTTAAATTTTTCTGAGAAACAGAATATGTCGTTTTCAATGGTCTTGTTGAGCTTTTGCAGTCATAAGAATTTTAATTATTATTTTGCGTTTGTGGAACTTGAGTAGTCTACGTCACACGCATGTCTGAATTCGGGCTATCATAATAGACTGCCTCACTTCTTTCAAAGCTATGGAGTATGGACCATGCAATTTATTATTAGCTTATAAATTAATCATCTACGTCATTTTTTTCTAAATATAAATACTATCTTCAACATATCTTTCACATTCTCTTCATCCTATATATATATCTCAATTCTCTGTAAAATAAATCTTATATTAGGTATGTGTCTAGCCACGGATTATTAATCTCAAGACAAAACGAATATTCGAATATAACTCTATCCTTTATTTAATAATTAACAATTTATCCCTCTACTTGTCATTAATTTTCGAAAGACATTCAAGTACAAAAAGAAAATAGTTGTGCTTCACTTTGTATGATTATCTTGCTAAACAAGAAAAATCTTGAACTTCAATATATCTCGAAGTTTAAACATGGCTTTTTTTTTTTTGGCCTGGATTTGCCATACCGAATCTATTCTTGAACTGCTCGTGGTTTAGGTATGTAAAGTAATATTTTGAGTGACTTTTCGTTTGTTGACAGTTTCATTTCTCTTTTACCATTTTTTTCGCACACAAAAGAAATTCCATCAACTCCTTTTATCAAAATTATTTTAAAGTTGTAACGATTTCTTTCATTAATTAAGAAGATAATGTAGGTTTGTTGAAATACTCTTACCAACAAAAATGAATATACTGGGATTCAAATCGCACTCCAATCTTTAGTTAATGTGTGTTTGGCTGAATTTATTGTAGAAAATAATTACTTATTTTTTTTATATTAATTTTATGAGATAACTTAAAAAAAATACACGATTATTTTAAAAAAATTTAAGCTGAAACCGCTATAGTATTTTAATTCAGTAACTTGGAAAAGTAGGTCATTTCCATGGTCCATTTAGCCCAAACTGTCAAGTCCAGTGAGCTACAGAGTTTAAAAACGAGGATCAAACGGCCCAGTCAAATATGACAAGGCCCACAATAACTAGGAGCAAGGACTCAATATTTTTTTTTAAACGCGTTTATAAACTTTCCTTTTAAGTAAAAAACAAGTTTAGGAGTCTAACATAGCCTAATAAATTTTTTAAAAAATACTTAATAGTGAAATATCTTAAATAGGTTAAAAAATACATTTAAATAAGCTAAAAAGCCTAAAATTATGTGTAGGCTAAGAAAATTAAGTATTTAAATGGAATAGCAAATATTTAGTTTGAAGACATTATAGTATAAACTTAACTTGATAATAATTATATTACTATAGTCATATACCATCACCATTATATTTACTTAAATAAGTAAATTTAATAAACTTTTAAGACAAGTCAAAATCTAAAGTTTTAATCAAATAAAGTCATAAGCAAATCTTAGTTGAACTTATTTAATAAATATATCTAACTTAACCTCTATATAAATTAGAGCCTATCTGCCTAAGACGCGCAACACGCAACAGACATGCTAATCTAATTCCACTCTTTTGAATAATTAGGTTATAGCAAATGTGGAATGAGAGAAAAGTCGCACGATTTGCATATTTGTTTATGATTCTAGTTTTGTTATCCAATTCCGTGCAAGCAACTCACTCACTTTTGCTGCAAGCAATTAGCCATTACTAGTCAATAACACAGCTTTGCTTCTAAGAATAATATTTCTTCTTATTCAACTGTCTAATCATATTTATTTATTTATTTAAAAAACACAACAATTTTTATTTTTATTATTCTAAGTATTTATGTCCAATGATTGCACAACTCTAACGTAATCTCAATCTCTTGTTTTCCCTTTGACAAAAGCAAGTATTATGTTTAATTCATCGTGAAGATAAAATTGGTTTGATACATATATCTGAATTTGTGCTGCATTATAAACCATTGCTTTAGTTATTCCTTCACAAGTTAAAGCCTCTCTTTGGCATATGAAACTGGCTTCCCATAGTATGCAATGGCCTTGAATTAGAGTCAAGATAACTGAGGACCATGACCATAGCCAGTGAGCAAATAAACATGGGAATTGGCCCAAAAAACCAAAGCAGCAAATCAAGGGCAAAATAGAGGGCTCGAAGACCAAGTGACCAGAAATCACCTCCTCTTATGACTGCCAGTTCCACACTACTCACAGGGACAAAACTATCTGGGGTGCTTATCAAATAGTTTGCATGAACAAAGTGCCTTGCTGATTGGACAAAGCACGAGAATGCAAGCAGGAAGCATGTTAGAAGGCAAATGTACTTGATGGAAATGGCTATTGGTCTTGTGTCACCATAGATCAGTTGGCTCTGGAAGAATATGTTGGAACTGTTGGCAATCCATGCTCCAATTAGGGAACAAAGAGTCAAACAAACTGAGGCCAAGAATGTAGCAGCTGTAGTGTTGGATTGAAGAACAGTTAGTGCTGTGCCAACATCTCTTTTGTCAACCTGGCCATAACCAAGTTCAAAACAAGCAAAACAATTAAAAGGATATTTTCTATCACAATCTATCACCATAAACTTCTTCAAGATTTTGAAAAAATCAGTAAGAATTTTTTTTATAAATTAGTTTATGCATAAACTAACCAAATTAATCAAGGGTCATACGAATTACTTGCCTGCATAATTCTTTCAACCCAAATTCTCTTGTCATTGTTCTCAAATCCCATGACTGTGGAGTGAGGCTGATTGACATATTTATAAAGCAGGAAGAGGTGGTAAACGAACATGATGAGCAACCCAGAAGGGACCAAAACCAAATCCAGATACTCCTTATGGAACTTCATATTCATGTTGTTCCTTTCTAGTGGTGGAGGATTGTGTTTTAATTATGAAAGCCTTCAGTTATAAACAAATGAAACTAGGGGGAATTCCTTGGTCGTCTTTCCGATTAACACTTAACATGTTTAGATTGACCTAACGTAATTTGACAACCAATGGCAACTTGCTAATTTTCTCACTCTATTTTATTCGGAATTATTGATTAGTACAGCTAGAAGCCTAGAACACTAGTGAAAGGAAGAAAGAAAATGGCTAAGGGGTAACAAGAGGCGTTAACACCGAGAAACAACTTTTGTATTCTAAAATGTTCGAATCTGAATGGGATAAACCATTGATCTGCGTGAGGGTTACCTAAATAGAAGGCAACAATATGTTATATATAATTAAATTAAATATATTATTACAAATAAATTATAATATAATATATATTTGGATATTTACATCACCAATTCTTAGACTTAGACAATAATTATCATCATCTTTATAATTTTTTTTATATATATTTTTTTTAAAAATTAGGTGATAATTACATTTTTTTAATATCAACATAAAAAAGGCCTTTTTACTTAAATTAAAGATGAAATGAAGTGATAAAAAAATATACATAAATTTATTTGGATAATATTTAATATATTTGCATATATAAATTAAAATAGCTATCTTGATGGTGTTAGTTGATTTTCTTACACAAGAATCATTTTAGTTTTTTTTTTCAATCTCTTGCTTTTAATTTATCTTTTAACAATTTAAAGAGAGGGAGGTAGGAGAAAAAAAAATTCAAATTCTTTATTTTTTTGAGAATTTAAAATTCTACAATTTTATAAAATGTTACAAATGTTTGAATTTTAAATTATTTATATATTTTTTATCCAAAAAATATTCTATTTTAAAGTATTTAAAAATTTTCAAAATAATTACTCCATTTAAATATATTTTTCATTCGTATCAATTTAGCTAGCTAGTATTAGTTCGGTGGATGATTCGACTATTTATTTCAAAATATATAGTATAGCTCGAGTACAATTTTTTAGCACAAAGATAAAAGAAACAACGTACACGATCTTATTTATTAGAATAACTCAAAGATAAACTTCAATAAGCGACCTCAAACCAAACTGTCAAACATGGGTGTTATCTTGTAGTGACCGAGTCTAACTTCCAAAAAGAGTTTCATCCATTTTTTTTCTTCTCTCTCTTTTTCATTGACCTGGTCATCATTAAAATATCAATAAACAACTTTGTTTCTGTCCATTCATGATTCTCATTCTTTTCACTGATCACTATGTCTATGATAATTACTTTCCCCTTCCTTGTCCTTGTTTGAAATAGCTTCTCTGCATTTCTTCAGTATCTTAATGCACTCTTCATCACTAAAAGCATGCAATACTATAATTGCCACATGCACAATTAATAAAATAAACTAGCTTTAAATCCAACATAACAAACAGTTGTGCAAAGATGAAAAATGACATACCTTAAGAAGAATGGCATTAGTCGAAGGAATAAACTGAAATATGTCACCCTCAACAAATTTCAAATTTGGTGTTGTCAGACAAGTTTTCAACCACATGTGAAGATCAAGCACGATCCAATGCAAATTTGGCAGTGACTCAAACTATCCTACCAACATCAACCAATGAATTCAGTCCCTCAAAAATAGATTTGCAGTTTTTGTTCACAAAATTCATCGTCTCAGAATCTCCAACCTATGCTTCATTGAAGAGGTCGTTAAACTCATTGTTTTCGTTGACATAGTCCCGAAAATCCATGTTGAATGCAATTTGAAAGGGCATGAGCTCATTTCTGTTAAACCACTCACCCAAGAATTCTGATGAGCGAGCTAGATATGGATGAAACATTGCCCGAACATAAGGAGACAACATTGGACCATTGTAGCCTTAGATGTTAACTTTTCATGACACGGGAATCACTTAGAAAAGAGATCTAAAACTCAAGTTATGATCAAATTAGTGAGTGAATGTCAACCTGTCATAATTAGGCTAAAACACTGTAGTTTTACAATTTTAAAAAATAGTAGGAAGTAAAATCAACTCTTCAAGTAAGCATAAAAATTGTTGATAATTATCTTATATTTCTAATAAAATTAAGATCAACTTGATAGTATAAGTACATCTCTAGATAACTAGTATAAATCACACGACATCATAGAAGGTTAAGATAAAAAGAAAGAGTTTGTGAGTTATTTATTTCTTAAGCATTTAATCTCGAGACTTTGTGCTTACACGTGATATGAAATGTGGATGTTGAATTGAGAATAATGTGTACAATGTTTGAGACATTGATAAATCATGTTATTATGTGTAACACTATGTTGTGTGATGTTATTATGATGATGACTTATAGTGACATATAATGCATGAAATGAATGAGGATGTGATATGAGAAATATGTGACATGTGAAGTGAAATCATGTAGATGTAATGCATTGAGTTATGTTTGACATACATCATATGCATAAAAGTGTTTTTAAGGAGATGATATGAAATACATTGTTAGGGTAGATCCCTTGTGTAAAAGCTTGGGAATTAGTCCTTAGAGATAACTTGGTTTATAAGTTCCAATATTGTCAATTGTATGCATGAGATGTATCTTGCACGGTCCAGTTATCCCAACTAGACTTTGGTAATATGTCCTTTTAGTGAGAGTACACGAAGTGTGTGACCCGATATCTACTCCTTGACTATTCTATGTGTATTGTTAACTACAATGCACAAATGTTATGTTTTTATTGCGTCACATGTATGTTAACATGTAGTTCGTGTCTATTGCATATTGCATTTTAATCTTGTCTATTATTGCTTAATATGCTATGAATGAACAATTGTGATGATATTGTTTATCCATGTATGCTACACCTTATTGTAAGTGTTGTTTGTGGTTGATTAGTCGGTTTACATCCCTATATCGTGAGTCAAAGTGAAATATTTCTCACTCATTTTCTTTTGTGTCATTTTTTTTGTGATTTTTGCACGTGATCATCAACATGGTACCGAAGATGTTGTTGGCGAGGTCTAATCCTTAGAGTTGAGTTTTACTCTAATAGGGCATGTGATATCAAAACTTAGTTATGACTAGTTAGGATTTAATTCATGTTGTTTAATTTAAGTAATTTGATTTTTATTCCTTTGTAACTTTGTTATTTCTATCAAATTTGGTTATATTAATAATATGATTTTCTTTACCTGCATGACTTTGAACTTATTATTTTACACGAGATATTTTAATTTTATATTATTTTTGTGTTATGACACATGAGATAGAGGGTGACACAATATATATACTTTTATATATGTGATAAATTAATATATATATATATATATATATATA